GTTTAGTCGTCAAGTCTGCAAAAGTCTGGCTTCTTCCTCTCATGCGCAGGGGATTAGGGTTTGCGCGTCCATCAATCGGCATAGTCTTTGTGCGTCAGTCAATTAGTCGGCAGAACTTGGGTGTGTGCGGCTAATCGCGTCTAAGTTTTCGGGGGGTGTTGCAATCAGTTCGTCCGTCTACCCTACGCACTCGGCACAATTCGCGAGAGTGATTCACGCGTCCACCAGGATTACCTACGAGCGAAGCTTGGTTACTAGCGTCCAAAGATGGAGGGGGCAGCGGATAAACAGAGACGCTTACAGAGGCTGAAGTCCGAAACTCGATCACAAGCCATACTCGTTTTCGTGCTGCTGGTTCGAATTCGCTTGCACCCGCAGTATTTAAGGATAGTGGTAAGGTAATCTGCAAAGCACTGATCTTTCTGATCTAACAAGTCTGGAAGGCAGACACCAGTCCAGCTAACTGGAGTAACTCGATAATAGTGGCAATATACAAGGGCAGTCGTACCGACTGTGCTAACCACAAGGGTATTAACCTAACATTGAAAGTGACAGAATTACTGACAATTCTCGCTCAACGCCTCACTGCGGAACGGAAATCCAAGATTAGGGAAGAGCAAGCACGTTTCTTTCTAGGACGGGGCTGTGTAGACCATATGTATCCTGCAACAGGTGCTAGAGCAACACCACACGTACTGCAGACCGACAATAGCAGTTGCTGGACAAGATGAGTGCGTTCGACTCAGTCGACCGATACACTCTGTTTGAAATACCTGCGCTGAAAGCAGTTCCCACGAGGTATGTGAACAATGCACGTGCCCTATATTCAACCCAGCAGGCTGCGTCAGGATCTACGCTGATTTGTCGGATACCTTTTCGACAACAAGTGGCGTTCAGCAGGGTTGTCCGATTTCCTCATAATTGTTCAACTTCGTTGTGGATTGCTTCATGAAGTAGTCCTTTGTGGAATGTCACGAAGCAGACGTTGAGGTGCTGCCTGGTGAAAAGTTTGTTGATCATAAATATGAGGAGGATATAGCCTTGGTTTTTAACCATATTGGGGCGGCCCAAACAACCCTCAATATAATCACAAGAGTGGTCTCATTATTTGGCAAGCGTTTCACACCTACAAAGTGCAGTGTTGTTACAGAACCACCAGCCATTTGACCTATGATAGCGATAAACCGACGTAGTTGACCACTTCATTTAGTTTGGCAGCCGCATCAGCAACGATGGGCACATAACCACTGAAGTCAATTCCCGTACTGTAAAAGTTAGAGTCTTTGAAATTTGCGAAATCTGTGGCGTTAAAAAGAGGTTTCCCTCCGTCTGAACATGTGTACAAGGTCACTGTGAGGGTCGTCCTACTCTACGGAAATGAGACTTAGCCCCTTCGATCTGAAGACCCGTGGAGCCTTCAAGTCTTTGATCATCGTTGTCTGAAGAGCACCGCTGGTGTCGGGTGACACCGGCGTGCCCGCAACGATGGTGTACGTAGGCAGTGCCAGGCAGTGATACTCAAGCTGGTTCTTTCGAACAACGGATAGCACTAAATAGGTTGTGTTGACTTAGGCACGTTGTAGGTATGCCCGGTCACCGCTTATCGAGGGGCGCCATATTTCATCTGCCAGATGTAGAGTGACGCAAGACCCGAAGTGTGCAAGGGTTAAGTTGGCAGCGGGAAATGTAGTCACTGGCGACCCAACTCGGTGCCGTTGGTTCGCCTCACCTTCCAGGCTGGATTCCAAGTGACTGACCTTGTGCTTAGCCAGAGACGTTACAAAATATGACTCGCAATCAACATCAGTGGCGTGTCTGTTGCTGTCTCCTAATCGGATTGGCTGCTTAGTGTGTTTGGTGCTGAGTTATCTGCGGAGTAATGGCTGATTATGACGCGGGGCAGTGAAAGCCGCAAGGAAGCTGTCCCGCCAATGCCGCCTTTCCTTTGCACGATAGTCAGCTGTTTGTGATGATATATTGGTGACAAGGTGCAAGCGCCTTGACCCTTAATGTTTGCTTAGGGCACTAAGGTCTTACGCTACGTCCCCTTCTCTCCCTCATATTATTCTGGAATCCTAAGATCACCACGGCTGTTCGGCAGCCAAGTATCAGTCCAATTGGCTAACGTAATGCAGCCGTTGATGATGATTGATGGCACACATAGGAGCATTAGCAAGGTCTGGAAAATATCCCAGAGTGACCAATAATCTTCACTGACGTGCGCCACCCATAACTGATGGCGATGTGGTCAAGTTGGACACATTATAACTCATGGTTAGATGAAAGCTTGTATTGGAACTCGGTGTTATTGATAGAGAGGTTGTACTGGGTAAAAGGTAGACGAAAGCAGTCGACACTGTCAACATCAGATGCACACTTGGGAACAACCTCTAAGGGATCTGTGACATGTGAATAACTGCAGTACCCACGTTGCTCGCAACAATTATCACATCTGTAGTTCAGGATTCCGAAAAGAGAAAGGTTGCATAGGCAACTGGTCTTTGGTGGTTTCTAAGCGATAGTCGATGGCACAAACAGCTCTATAGCTCCTGAATATTCTATAGCTTTTTGCAAAAAGGTTTGCAAATCATGATCTTCTGTCCTATTCCAATGCCACTGGAGTAGTAATTCTGTCTGCTGATCTACTGCCAATGATCTGACATGGAAGATTTAGATTTTTGGATCGGACCAGACAGCGAAAAATGCGCCGCTGAAAGGGTTGACGGAGGGAGCAAAGCGTTGAGATGCGATCAGCACCCTCAATGAAGAGCTATGGTTGATGAAATGGGCCAACACAATCCCGGTTCTCCTCGGCCGGTGGCCGAATGATCTGCACGCTTGGCTTGCAACCCTAAGGTCACCGGTTCGAATCCGCGTAGGGGCGGGCATTCTCGTGGTTTAATCAGCTCGCGCGCGACTACATGTGGGCGCACGGCAACGAAGCGCCATTACGGTGTACATCAAACATTAATTAATTATTTGACACCAAACGGACTCTCGAAGTTGTAGATCACTTCACTCATCTACGCAGCTGTATCACTTCAGGCGGACGAGAAGACTGCTGCAGTTATTAACAAGGCGCTTGTGCAGACAGTGGAATATGAGCTTATTGCTATGCCTCTGTGCACTGGGACCTTGAGGAAACGTCCAAGTCTGACTACATATGCTTCTAGAGTAGTTGCTTGTGCGTGGTGTGAAAACCGAGGTAACTACATGGATGTTTGTCGAGTGGTGTTGAGCAACAGGCCCTCATATGTCTCTATAGAGTTCCTCTGGAACACGAATCGCCTAGGTTGCCTCGATTAAATGTCTCAAATACTTGAAAACCAATCACCCCAGTGTGTATCGCTTCCCATTACTGTGCCTAACCTACATGGTGAAAGACCATGAAAAAATCATCGAAATGTTAAGTAAGTGAAAAGAAGGTTATGGATTTGTGATATAAGCAAGCACAGCATGGTCATCAAGTCATCGGCACTTTCATATTCGCCCCTCCCCATTCCGGACACTGGTGATTTTAATCCCTACCATTGCTCTTCGCCGGCACGTAGCCTAAAGGCAACGAGCTTATATTGTAATGTGGTGGCGTGGATTCGAGCCTACGTACGGAAAGGGCGACCCTCGCAGTATTCTTAGCCCACGTGCGACCAGTGGTGGTTGCGAGGTAGCAAAGTGTCGGTACTGCGTACCGGCGCACTGCTGATGCCTTTCATTCTTATGGCTCTTCAAGTATCAACGATATATGTGTGTCACATCTCAAGAACCACATTCAGCCAATTAAACTGAACCTAAGTATAAAGCTGAAATGAGCACTGCGTACGGAGGGATCGGACACAGCGCACGAACGTTGGACGACGCGAAACTGAGAACAGAGATGGTTTGGCCTCCCATTTAACTTGCATGAAAAAATCAGAAGTGATCCTGTGCTGGATAGCATGAGAAGACTTGGAAAGAAGTTAGACGGATACTTATGGCCAAATGATGCCTAATGTCTGCTCATTCCCTAAAGGCAGTGGATACGCACAGTTGACAAGTCTGGTGCTTTTCCAGACTGATGATAGAAACTGTCTGTCTTGTAAGCTGGTGTGATGAACACTGTAAAAGTTAATCAAAATCCGTTTACCCATAAGTACCATGATCGTTTGTTGGACTGCTCAAATGTAACGTTTGGTTTAATAGTCTGGAGGCAGTGAAAAAACTGGACCATGCATTACGAAGTTAGGCCAGTCAGATTGAGTCGAATGCACAGATGACGTAACGTAGCCACGTCGGACCCCAGTCCCAAGAACGCGCTGCCGGATACCATGACTGTAAACGCACTTTATGCGAGAGTTGCACACAGCTATTTGTGTGCTCCGAAAGTACATCATAAGTCTTTAACCAATGCTGATGGTACCAGATTCTGTTTCTGATAACAGAGCAGAATTTCATAGCAGAGGATGTGGCTGCGAAGCTGGCAGAATACACATAGTGTGATATTTCATAACAAGAGTACAACGGTTCTTTTGATTTGCAAACAAGAGAAAAACAAATATTTTAAACACGATTATGTGACGTATGGTAATCCGACCCCACGTAATTCGGTACTTTGATTTTAGATGATGCGGCGGCACACAAAAGATCGGAGAGATCAGTCTGCGGAAAAGCCACCAAACAGCAATCCTGAAAGTGTTTGTCAATGATGCAAACGAGCAAACATAACCCCGTGGGGTTGAATCACGCACAGACGATCGGTTTAGTGAGAAATTGAGAACGGACGACTACTTATGAGTCCGTAGAAGTAGATTAAGATGCACGGCAACAGAGGCTGATTAGGATCCGATCAATGGAAGTTTGTCCACACAGTGGCTGCGAGTTAAAAAAAGAACTACTCAGAAGGCGCATGAAGAAGTAATCACCACCGGGGCGTTTGGGAATTGAAGGATGTTTGTTGAGGCCCGTCTTTGGTCGACCACCAAAGAAATGGTCATCATCTCTAAGTACACACAATATACAGAAGAATGGGATACGAGCGACAATCCAAGCAGATGGTATTCAGTAATCGTGACCGGACTCGTTTTTGCTAACGAACAAGACTTGCCCAGTAAGCAGATAAAGATCCGGTGTTGCCAAATGGAATGGAAAAGGAAAAATACCTCACATGCAGTAAGCCATGGTTACCGACTGAACCGGAGAGAAGTGTGAAGCGTCTAGAGGATAACGGTGAAATCAATATCCTACAAGCCACGTACTTATAGTGAACTCAAAGCATGCTTGCATGGAAATGACCAGTAATTTCGCTGTGGACAGTAGAGAAATGAAGGCTAGGAGGCGCATTTAAGACAGCATTTGGAAGACAGAGGAGAACGAACTTGGTAGTTAAACAGGCGGAAAGTCGAGCATCTGCTAAGCAAAACGAAATCCAGTAGTACCTTAGTGTTGGCAGTTCAACGCAATCAAACAGCCTTGGGTGGCGAGTACTGATTGCAGACAAAGCGCGCGACACGGTCACCTGTGGCACAAACAAAGATGATGATAGAATAGTTGTGCGCAAGAATAGAAGTTATAAAAAATACATCAAAAATGAGCAATGACTGATTTGAGATATTTACAAATACACTTGCGTTAGTGAGGTGAGAAAAACGTAACTATGTCGATCAAAGTGGGGAGTACATTCGCGTGGGTATAGAAAAATGAGGAATAATGAACCCCATGATAGCAGTCGCTGTGTGAAGGTGAGAGACGATCATGACTGAAGGCGACGAGAGGACAGTAAAAACGTTACGGTCTCAAAGATGATAGAATGAGCCAGTGAAGAAAACGATGCTTGATGAAAGTGAGCGGAAGCGACACCTGAACATACGACCCCGCAAAAATCACCATCTTGAGCAGAATGGATGAAAGGGCGGATCCGGGTATGATTATGAGGGGGTAATCAGTTTCTTGGAAATTCGATCGAGATCAAGTAGTTGCTGGAGTAATCAGAACAGAAGAGTCAGCATGCGCAACCGTCCCTGGGCTCAGGATGAGCAGTACCCAATTGAATCTGGTCAGGAAACTCATTGCAAATATCAGCCTGTTTTGCAAGATAAAGGGAAGTAAAAATTGGTGTGAGGTGCATTCTGAAATTACACGAGGAAACAACACAACAAATACCTGGTCAACAGGCTCCAACGTTAGGGGGAATAAAAAACCATGGGTTCGAGAGCAAGTCAACAGCGGAGGTTGAAGAACAAGCACTATATATATATGTATATGTATATATATATGTATATATATATGTATATATATATATATATATATATATATATATGACAGGTAAATAGCTCACTGCTGCTTTGATCTTGCAGTCGGCCGAAGTCATGGACGCCTTGTGGCGATCGCCGGGTGGGAGATTGGTCGTAATTGTCTCCTAGCTAAGAGCTATGGCACATGCACGTAGGTGGAATGATCACTGGTGTCTTTGGTCTCTAGTCTTTCTTGCACTTAAGGCGATAAAAAAACGTTTGATCGTTTCGGTAGTTTTGCATGCTGTTTCTTCACCATGCAGGTAACTGGTCATCTAGAGATTTCATTTAACTGAGCAGGGTGGTGGGAAACGGCGTACACCGGGGCGGTTGCCTTGCAAGCATGTGAGCCACACGACCGAGACAACATACGCGGTTCGCGTACAACAGTAACTGCACAAAGATATCCGAGAGCTTGCTACCTAGCACCACCAAGCGAACTTACAAACAGCAACAATGAAACGAATCAAACGCAGCAGCTCAGTAAACGAAGACCATCATGATAAACGAGCGGTGCTTTCGACTGATTACAAATAGTCATCCGTGGGTGTGCATTACAACCTGACGACCTTGGTTGTCGCTCAAAACGAACAATTTCCTGAATACGTCAATCAACCTAGTGGCAAGTTATTTCGATACGTATCCGTAAATGCAGCAGTGGGAATACGCACCTGAACTCTGTAACATCTGTATTAAATTGAGAATAAGAATGCATATGAGTTTATAATTTCAGCAATAGTTCCAGTAACCAACAAGGTAAAGTGACCGATCCAGAAGAGTTCTAGATATCAAAACCATGAGATTCTGAGTACGGTCTCCAAGTTGATGGCCATAGCAGTGACGAATGATCTAGTGCAGAGGTTTTTACTAGTGAAGTAGAACCACTAAACAGTGAATGTAATAGTTGAAAGGCAAGCAGGACAAACTTGACAGATAAACGGAACTGATTTTCCGTCGGATAATAACTAGTGGTGGTAGTGTCTCTACTGGGATACCTGACGTCGTGTAAGGGTCCACGGAAAACTGTCTCCTGATTTTCCACGACAAGAGGGGTTCGCTAGGATTGTTCCACACCTTTTCCCTTCAACTTTGTGATCGAAATGATCATGAATGACTCGGTCGCTTCAGACTCTACGGGAATGGAAGTTCTGTCAGGTGACCGGATGACAAGGGTTGAGTAGGCAGACGAAATACCTTACTTTGAGTATGACGCAGTAGCTATGCAAACACTAATAGATAAACTGACGCGTAGCACTGCACGCTTTGACATGTGCTCTGCACCTTCAAAGTGCAAAGTAATTCTGTAGGACTGGACCGTTGCACATCCGGTTCTAGGTATCACCGAACAGCCACTGGAAGTGGTGGAACGATACACTTACTTTGGTACTTGCCACATTTGGTGGACACATCACTGAGGAAGTTACTTCGCGTACAAACAAAGCCCGTGCGGCATTCCGGAGGCTTAAACATCCACGAAGACGGCGGGATATCAGTTTGTCAACAACGCATCAGTAGTACGCTGGTGCGCATTACCGACGATTCGCTGCCGCGCAACCTCCACCAGTCGAGCGCGGACTTAGGACAATGTGAGGCTCGCCCATTCCCATACACGGGCTCGAATCGGCAACTTCAGGATTAGGAGGCAGGCTTGTGATCTTTAAGGCCACAGGCCGACTCAGCAGGTCATCGAAAGGGTCAGTATTAGTGTATGGATCAGAGGCCCGGCCAGTTCGCAGTGAAATCCCTAAATAATTGGTCGTGCCAGATCACCGGTGCATATGGAGTAATGCTTACACCTGGTTGAAACACCGGGTGAAAAATGCTGAGGTCCGTCGGTTAGTCTTTGGCAATAAAACGTTCTGGTGCTTCACTCGAGTATCGGCTGGATTTTAACTGCTTATGTTGATTAGGCCACGTCCCACAGATGCCTGTTGACCGCCTTCCTAGGTGTACATTATACGCCGTGGTTGCACCAAGTTGGATGAAACCGTGAGATGGGAGTTAATGATGTGACACAAAGGCATGAAGAAATTCCCTAAGAGACTCAGTCAAGGTGGTGTGTGTCGAATTCGTGGATGAGTCCCGGCTGATACACATTAGTGATTGGAAACTCTATCAGTCAGTCGCGCAGGCAGTATTGTCCCCGCGTTCGATTTATGGCATCTATCAATGATTTTTCATTCAATACCGACTAGTTTAACGCATTTCTACACTGTTTCTATCGTTTTCGTAATATGTTTCACGCGGTGGTGGTCAGAAAGCACAAACTACTGCGACTGGTGCCAGTAGTATACGAGTACAAAGAAAACCAAACGGTAACGAGCAACTGCGGACTATGCAAAAGAAGAACGCTTGAGAGCTGCATACATATGTGCACTAAAATTGGATCTAGAAGCAACGTACGACACGCAAACTACAGAAGGGAGTACAGAGACTAGTGGAACTTCGTTTGTCAGAACTGATGCGTGTGAACGCTGATATTAGCTGCAATGGAAATTTCCGTTCGCACCTCGGGTTCTTGCAGTACAACCCCCATTTCTTGCCGCTGTTATTTATTCTTATTCTGGTGACGCGAATTGTGACAACTGGATCCACTGTGCCAGCACCACAGTTGTCCAACTGATCTGAACTGACAATGTCTCAGTCACGGGAACGGCGCGATGCTGCATGGTGCTACGGTGATCGGTGGTTTGATTCCCACCAGTGGTGTTTTATGGAGGAGCTAAGCGGATGACCTTTGTTACATCCAAATGAGTCAATGTGTGTATCAAATGTCCAGAGCTATTGCTGAGCAGACAAATGAAGATTGTTCAATCTGATGGAGGTCCAACAAAATATCAGCTCATCACGCGCAGTTTACAATCCCATAAACAAGCATTACGTGAGGATGTTGAATTTCATGCCTAGTTGTGAAAAAGTAGGCAAGTGACTGAGAGCAGAACCATACTAGACTCAGAAGAGGTTTAAGGAACCATCCGGATACTTTGATCGTCAGTTTGGTAATCCGGACATTATGTCCCATGTTCATATTAATGTCGAGAAAACGATGCAGCAATATGGGTAAGACACAAATCCGCGTACATAAGACAACAGTTGCATGATGGTCAAGTGTCGGTGCAGGGTGCTGTGATAACGCTGACAACTTTATACGCCACGGGTGCCATTTAACTGTCGTTGTCTATGGGCGGTACCGACTCAGAAAGAACAACAACCCCTCTTTAATCACAAAACCGATTGAGGAGAAGAGTCACCTTTATGATGGTCATCTGTAAAGCATTGATTCCGGCCTGTGGTCTTAGGGATCGAAAGCCTGTCTCGTAATCCTGAGGTCGCAGTTCGAGTTTGGGTAGGGGACTGGGCGACCCTCGCAGTATGCTCAGCCCTCGCGCAACTGATGGTTGCATAGCAGTATAGCGTCGGTAAATCCGTGTATCGGCATACCGTTGGTGCCTTTTTGGAGCCCCCTCTCCGGTGCTTCCATGAGCCCCGAGAATGATCCGACACCTGCAAGCTCAGACCCTATAACAACAAACGTAGTCCGCGGTGTTTAAATTACTTCGTCATTACTCAAAACGTTATGAAATTCATCGAACCGCGTTCAAACTGGATTCCGTTGCCATTCTCAACAGCCATGAATTACAAGGGTCTGAGATAACGCCGCTACTTCTTCTGAGCTTGTTCACTTCGTGGCTGGAACGCAGGCAGATTCCAGGACAATAAAAATGAATTTGCAGTCCCTCGTCATCAAGGTAATCCCGAAGACGCTAATTACTGAGTACCGATTACTAATCCATCATACTAACAAAAGCACCAAATCGCTCGGAAACTTAATGTAAATGAAGTGGTCGGCTTCATACACCCCGAGGGACTTCTTAACCGATCTCAATATGTGTTCCTAACAAATTGGTTCAACAAATACCATCAGTTGCGTTATTTGAACATCATAGAACAGAGGTGCCCAAAATTTTCGCAATGATGGTCACATTTTGAGAGGTAAAAAATGTCGGGCCATATTCAGATTTACATTATAATACTAATAACAATTACACGTCCTAAATTTTTTCATTGTAAGTTTCCAATGTGAGGGGTGGAACTGAGAAGTTAACATCTTTATTTTTTGCGTCAGTTAAGACCCCTTTAGTAGAGGCACAAGATTGGTTTTTCCTAATTAGTTAAAAATAAACAGTACATCAATGATTTTTACCAACATCTGACGTTAGTGAATTGTGTATTCATAACATCCTTAAATTTTTGTTCTCTATATAACATCCTCTGCACGAAAAATAACTCAAGCTGGAATTTATTACTTCATGATGAGATCGCGGGCCAGTTGAAATGGTAACGCGGGACACATTTGGTCCGCGGACCGGACTTTGAACATCCGTATCATAGAAGTTACCGGCTCTGGATGTACAGTTACCATTTTATTCTTTGGCATATAAAAACCATACGATCAGTTGCCTCACAAGCGAAAATTACTACTGTGCTCGCAATTTGGCCGATCCTTATTAGATAACCACAGTAAGATATCACATTACGCTCCTTAACGTCCAATTGCTAGTTGTATCGTCAAGATTTTCTGACTTGCGCTATTCCAGCACTACATCAGAGAAATCAGTAAGACAGGCCAAATTTATTCACAGATGACTGGGAATCTCGAAGATATGAGCCTCAGAGAGCCATGTTGAAAAAATAAGAAGAAATATATTACCTCAAAGATGTTGAGTCACGTGCTTGAAGTTCGCGAATAACAAACCAAGCACCGCTACCTACAGGAGTTCGATACCCGAAGGGACTACTAAACTCAAAAATGAACTTGAGCTACCTACCCCCGAGCTAGGAATATGGTATTCTTCCAACTTTACTTTTCTTAACATGTCTAATATCAAATGACGCGGGCTAGGTAAGCTAAATATATAGTTTCTAACATATACTCATGACTAGAGGGTTGAGGTAAATAAGTGCCATAGTCGAGCTCCTTGAAATCATCACTCATCCCGACGCTGGATAGGGAACCCCATGCATCGCAAGATGATAGCTTCACAGTAGGCCTGCTAAATTGCTTTTGAAAATGCTTTACACGATGGTTTTGTCAGCGTGATTAAGAATGGATCGATTGTCCACCCTATTGAGTGAATCTTACAGTAGCTGAACGTTTTTTTGGACCCGTACTCTGAACGAGTGGAAACATAACTCGGTTGTTACCGAATGGGTTAACATTGACAATCTCAGGAGCCGCGGCCTGCCATCAACGCTACCGAGCAAATCGATTAACTCTAATCGGACATTGTTTCAGTGGTATGGACATGCTGGAACGGAAAACCTAATGAAAACAAACTGAGTGATTGAAACACGCTAGTCGACGCTCCATAAATTCATTCACAGTTCGTAGGTCACTAGTCAAGCAGGCCTACTGCTTTAAAAAGCAACCTCATGGCACAGTGCAAACGGTTCCATTCGACATTCACTGGAACCACCTCGTTCACCAGTCATAATCGACGAGCCAGAATGTCCTGGTATGGTTGAGCTGAAAACCATGGAACTCCGGTAATAAAGAGGCTAGAAATTGCGAGATTCGCTGGGGACCGAAGAATGAGCATCATGCGCATGTGTAATAGTGTATGGTTGGAATCCACGATAGTGCTTCAAATTGGCCAATAGTCCTGAACTGACATGCGCTATTTGTAGCTGACAACAATATGGTTAAGTGGGTTCACCGTTGGATTTTTGAGTACCCATCGTGTGTCTGGATTGGGTTACGAAATCTCACTTGAGTCCATGGTTTGCATTGAAGCTACCGTGGAATTCGGCGGACACCAGGTAAGGCGAGGTGAATCTTTGCTTTAGTGAGCCGATAGATGAGGGTTACGGACAGTTGATTGAGAAAAATGATCAACATTATCTGTTGGACATAAATCGGCCCAGAAACCGAACCCTAGATGTTGTTCGGGGTGTGTTAAGAAATCTGCTTGAGCATTCATGCCGCCAGCAAACACCACCATACGGAGAATGGATTAGAGCTGCCGATATGATTCGGTGTCAGTAACTCCGCAGTTGCAATCTGTCGGAAAAGGCAAGAAAAACCTCGTCTCCAAACGGTGTCCATACACCCGTATGGAGGTCCGAAGTTGCATCCACGCATACGCGACTACTGGGTGGGATCCATACGAACAAATTACTTTCAACATTTATGCTGCTAGCATTCGACATAGTAAATGCTTTGAAAAGTCGACTTGTTATCGCTAGAGATACGAAGAACATAGTCATCGATATCAGAAATCCCGAGTTAGAATCATTTCAATGCGCTATTGGAGTGAGAGCTTCAACGACACAGTATACATCGATACCCGAGGGATTAAATTAGTGGCTACCGCTGCTTGTTGAGCGCTTGTTGGTGAGGGCGGTTGACAATCTGGGTAGTGCAAGATTTGTGACGGATGATGCATGATGTTGGGACTCAAGTAAAAACAAGGTGTTAGATGGTAACAGTTCCTGTAAAGATGCATTCCAAAGAGCATAAACTCCGATTGTGAGAGAAACGGGCCTCGAAGGAGGCAAGCGTATTTGCATGAACATATTCCAAATCAGGGAAGTTTGAAAAATGTCAGTATCTGAACTGATGAATCAATCGTGTCGACGGCATTATGAACCAAATGACATGTCTCAACACTGGCGGTGCTACAAGAGTCAACAGAATACAGCTCGCAGTGGCTCAACCAAAACAGAAATGCAAATGATCGCTTTGTGATAAGATCTAGTGACAATGACGTGGAAACGGAGTACAAACGAAAGACGACTTATGGAAGAAAGCGAGTAATGGGAGAAAGGAGAGATGTCATCCAGAAAAGTTGTGTGCTGCGTGTGACGATAGATGGCGACTCCGGTGAATGAAATAAACACGAGGTTAGTGGACAGGCCAGTGAAAAGACCGCCTAAGCAAGCCGATCGCAATCGCCCGAATCAGGTGGGCGTGGCAGAATCCACCCGGTCTAGCACGAGCCGTGTGGTTACAGACAGCAGTGAACTGGATTGACTCGAACAATAGTGAGTGAACATCCTATGTGCGCTAACGTGGTGGTGTAGCAAAGAGTGGGCAACCAGGGTTGAACGTGAAAGGCGGACAACGTAGGATTGACATGACGTAGCATGAACCAAGCGGATCAACGAACATAAGCACGGGACGATATAGGAGGTGGAGGCGAGAAATAACCAGTGGAAAGCTGCCACACTGAAACGACACTTCGAATTTACGTAAATGGCCCTACGTTTAATGAATGACAGATTTAGACCGCTGTCTATACTTTGGTCTGGCTCTCAGAAGCTCACACAAGGTATACACGACAAAGCGTTTTGCAGCAAACTAGTTAGGTCAAAAGGATGTCTCGTTAGGAAAGCATTACAAGACAGTTTGCCAATCGGACTATCGCTACAGATCGCTACCAGAAGCACATACCTGCGGATTGATACCAGAATACAGAAAGAGATGAATCGGTTAGTAACGTGGTTGAGAAATGAAAACCGGTGAATGTGAACGGTTCGTATGGCACTAAATTTGCTCGATAAAATTTCTCAGTGTTACACACATTTTCCTAGTTGTGCATATATGATAATCAGTAGATTGGGTGGAGAACCAAGTAGTCGCACATTTATCATGCAGTGTTATCAATACCATCATCCGAAGAAATCGCCGAATGAGTTACCGTATCGGGGCTAAAAGTAGAGTAGCAAAGAAGCAAAGCGAGATAATCGAAAGAAAGTTCAGGCTCCAAATAGAAGAAAAAACCGTGGCCCAACCTACCTCCGACTCTTGCGCCAAGGCAACACGCGCAACATGTTGAAAAGCTTGTTCCACATTCGTGGCCTCTTTTGCGCTGCATTCAAAGTAAGGCAAATTTCCCTTCATTTGACACCACTGTCGCGCACGACGTTCGGCGATCTGAGGAAAAAGGTGAGACACAGAAATGATAAGTACGCCGATAAACATGAATACGAAATTTCTAGTTTGTGAGCACCAATGATAGACTAAGCTGGATTTCACCCTGATAATGGGTTGTATCAACCATGCATCTAATCTTCCATAAGTGCTACAGCAGCGACACGGAAACGAACGACAAGTCATGGTGGTTTACCCTAGCTGTCTTCGACTGCACGGACCACACCAGTTGGTGGTACTACCCATCCGTGAAGGGCGTGTTAGGGAAACTCCTCTCCATTCTGAAGTGTTTATAGTCTAGTCTATAGTTTAGTCTAGTCCAGTCTATAGTCTAGAGCCTAGTCTAGTCTATAGTCTAGAGCCTACAGAAGGGCCAACACAGGAGCATCATAAACTGAATTCACAAGGACTGGTCAAGTTCGCCAGGGATATCCCATATCACTTTTTCACATCAGCTTTGCGATAGAAAGGAAAATACGTAGGTCTAGTCCTTAGATTCCTTTGAACTGAAAGTTCCACTATGTGACCGACCGACAAACCTTATGCATGCGGACAACCTGACTCCACTTGGGTCGGAATCAGCGGTTATGCAAGTACTGCTAAATGTACTGACGTGTAGCGCTACATATTTCAGTATGTAGCCTTTGTGTCAAAAGTGAAAGGTTAAATATATTAACCGGTCGTCTACCAAACCTTCTGAAAGGATGACTTCCCGATCGGTTCTAAATATGTTCCAAGATATCGAGCACTTCAGTATGTGGTTCGCAAACTCAGTGACACGTACTGTTGAACAAATGTATCCTACGGATGACAGGTACAGTGGGATGATTTGTGCCAGTTAAGTAAGCTCAAAAAAGGAGTTACACTAAAGTGAAACGCGCATCTGTGAGCTCACCATATCATCCGCGTTAGCATACACGTATATCCGTTTACCCCGATTGCATGGGAGTTGGTGAGCACAACGTTTATCTGCGTCTCATCGTCACACAATGAACAGAAATCAAACCAAATAATTCGGGTGGTGTAAAGCATCGTCGAGTGTTTTTAATGGGTAGCGTGGGGGCAAAAATGACAAATATCGAAAGAGCGTTCCATTGCCGACAAGTCCGAAAAGAAAAATAATTCCTGCGTCATTCTAGCCGACTATATTGGTAGGCCAGTTGCAGCTGGTGACTCATCAATTGTGTGTTGCGGCAAGCATGACCGGGATTTTGTAAGATCTGGTACGCCAGAATGAGGTCGACTGGTAGACGGCGATAATTCCTGCTGTACGTTACTGAAGTTTTCAGTCACAGATGGTATGACAGATGTAACAATGCTTTCACATTTTGGTTGTCCTCTAGCCATGTGGTCCACAGTGCAACCAGATGGCGTTTTAACCAGGAGTACCATGCCTGAAACGCGTATAACACATGGGGCCTTACTATGCATAGAGGATTTGGGAGAAAATGGAGGGGTCAAACCGCCAGAACGCCCTCCTTAAGAGACCAACATGTCGGCTCGCAGTTTAGGACGGCTTCGAGGACTGCTCTGAACAGCCGAGGTCGTCTGGCATCATCACCCCAATGTCGCGCCTCTGTGAAGCAATCTTCAAGATGTTGTCTTTAAGCTTTTAAGCGTTAGTGGGCACTTGCACTTGTCCGCGTTAAACAGAAGTAGATTTGCCTTTGACCATTCAAAGGCACGGTTTCGATCCTGTTACAGTAGATCGTCATTTGCTGTTTACTGATGGGCCTCCAAATCTTTATGTCATCGGTAAAAAGCAGGAAATTTAACTAGATGGCACACGCGAGGTCGTTAGTTAAGACCAAGAACAAGCACGGCCCCAACAGTGACCTTGAGGCAACACCGCAGTCAACAACGAATGCTTCAGAAAACGAGCCATTAACCCGAACGTGAAGCCGGAAGGAGAAAATTTCCGATCCATCCAAGAACAGGGTTCCCAATTCCGTGCATTTACAACTTTTGGAAATAGATGCGGCGATCTAATCGGGCGAAGGTCTTATAAACGTTGAGGTAGATGACATCAATATCGGTCCAACTGCCACGGGCAATCAGTAGATTGGTGGTATATGACCGGTGCTGACGGAAGCCCATTGGTGCCTCAGCTATACTCGACTTCATCACCTTTGAGAGCACTGGGAAGAGAATCACTGGGCGACAGTTGACGGCCTCTAAACGGCTACCACCCTTAAAAATCGAGGCAACGAAAAGCTGCTCCCACACGCCGGCAACCTGTTTATCTAGAATTCCTGGAAAAAACTGGGTTAATGGCCCAGGTATCATCGTAGCTCCCAACAACAATGCTTTCATGGAAATGTTGAAAACAACGGGAAACTATGGGTGCGCAATGATAGCAACTTCCTCAAAAACGGTCGCAGAACTAAACCTGACGTGTGTGGATACTGGCGTCCGAGTGAATGGGATAGGTATGTGACTCCAGTTGGTGGCATGTCGGAATATTGGAGCCGCAGAACATTGGCTTCATCCTCGGCGGTTTGAGCCCATATAATTGCGGAGACGAGTGGGGAAACACCACACGTCACATTCCGGAGGCTGTTTACAAGTTTCATTAGGGGCCAGGTTTCACAACCGAAAAGTAGGGTCGAGCGTACCGTTGCATTGCAGACTCTACTCTTCAGAGAGAGTGATGCCGCGTCGGCGCCACAGGTTAGCGAAAGCGTCTCAAAGTTTTGATACACGGTTCGTGATCACACCTCTGATCTTAAGGGCGTTGATACAACTTCCCACGTAGTTGAATTTTTGAAGGACTTCTAGCTGATCACCACCAAGAGTCAGCACTGGAAGCGGTCCCTAACAACATTGGAGAAAAGGTTTGCAATTCGAGGGTGCAAAGCAAAGCCCGAAAGGGCTGACAGCCAGTGCTAATCTGTCCAGCGCTGCTTGGCACGTCTGGGAGATGTCACAGACAAGGGAATATGGTTTGCATATTCCTAGACCAGAGGTCGCTCGCCAGGAAGCAGCTCCACAACTTCAAAGTCGTGTCCTGTGAATGCGATCTCCATGGTTTCGTCAATAGCGAAGTTAAAGAGAATAGATGACAGCAGGCAACATTGTCTCACACCCCTGACGGCGACAGCTCGCCGAAAGCCATCACTCTACCCGAGCTGCGCGCGTAGAGCGCTCTGATAATATTTACATATTTCTCATGCACAATTCTCCTTAGCAGACAGTCCAAAAGGGCACATTGATCCACCTAATAAAAGGCACCCTTGATGTCGAGGAACACGACAACCGTGGGTCGCCAATAAACAAGGCTGTGCTCCAACAATGGACGCAAAGTAAAGATGCGGTCGATGCAGCCTCAATTCCGACGACATCCGGCTTGTGCCTCACGAATCTGACTTTTACGAGTGCCAGTCAGTTTGTGGAGAACGACAAACGCAAGCAATTTAGAGGCAATTGAGATCAGACTGATCCATGCATGATTGCCACACTCAGAACGGGAGCCCTCCGTGAAAATTGGAAATATTAAGGAGCGGCTCCAGTCTTTTGGGACAGTATCCTGCTACTACAGTTTCACTAGTAACTCGTGGAAATCATCTACAAGTGCAGGTCCGCCGAATTTGAAGAGGACTGCGGACTTATTCAATTTCAACAATCTGATCTCACGTTCGACTTCTGCGAGTGAGGGCAGGTCTCCAAAAACGGCCCAGGGAGAAGGGCAAATAATACCCGAAAAAGAAAGTAAGATCCCAAATTGTTTAAACTGTCTCGAAAAACATTTCACCCCACGCTCCAAGCATTTTGACAAGCTGTGAATCGACTGCCCACTCTCGTCGCGTATAGTCTCGCTAACACCAAGTCTCCTGATGCCCGTTCCCCGTGTCAAACGGAATAATTTACGATGGTTACCAACGGCAGCGGCTGTTTCCATTGCCGAAGCACGATGAGACCACCAGACTTCGCGGTCTCTCTTCAGATTAGCATACAGTTTTGCCCTGAGATTTTTACGAGTCTCATGGTAATCGCTTCCAGTCGGAACCCGTCGGCGAACATCCAAAAGTTCCAGAGACTGTGTAGAGATCCAATGTCCAGGTTAGCAATTTGATTTGCCACATGAAAACATGCCCAATGATAGTAACGTCTGGCGAATATACCACCAGTGATCATCAACAATGTTCAGTGGGCGCTCACGCAGTCCGAATACCAGCGTACTTTGATACGCATTCAGAACACCTGGCTTTGTCAGTTGTCTGGTGTCTGTGCGCTCACAGCGACGATGCGAACGTCCACCTAAACGCATCCGAAGGTCAGCCTGATCGGAGTCCACGATGGCGACCCAAATCAAGCGACAGTTTTGTATGCAGCCTCTCCAGCGGTAACTGAGAGTAATGTGATCGACTTGCGTCTATGGCTGGTTCCATGCTGGTGGGCGCCAAGTCACTCTTCTGTGAGTGCTGTGTCGAAAATTACTGCTCGCAAGAAAGAGGCGAGCATCTTCACACAGGTGTAGCAACCACTCACCGTTATTAGTACGGGAGCCTACACCATGTTGGCCACCCAGGCGTAGCTCAACAGAGAACAATTTTCCGACTTGGGAGTTCAGATCACCAGCAAGCACCACTGTATCCGTACTTATTCCGTAACGAAGATCGTGAAGTTGGCGATAGAAATCATCTTTCATCGAATCCATGCCACAGTTTGTGGGCACGGAAGCCACAAGGACAAATAGGCACCGTTTTTCCCCGCGCAACTTCGAAGCCTGGGACCAGCCAGCCAATCTAACGGCGCATATCCGACTGTTGACTGGGATCCAATCGATCAGCGCAGCTTCAACCCGGAGACTCAAAACAATGCCTACATCAGCTTGACCGATATTTGAAGCTGCGTCGTCCAAAGACTGGCGCAATGAGAATGTGCCGCCAGTGTCACATGTGGGGAATCGCAGAGTAAGCAGAGTAAGCAGAGTAAGTATTGGGTTTCCGATAAACAGTAAACATCGACCGATAGAGCCTCTGGTGTTCCGGAAAGTGTTGCCGGTTGGCCAACCTGCAACAAAGTGCGCACGTTGAAGCATGCCAATCTTAGCGAGCATTGAGGACTCCAAAGAAAAGCGGAAAAACTGACGTTGCTCGCTTCGTTGGAAGTGGACTTGTCCACTGGACAGAAGCGGTGCCCTGCGATTGTGTGTTGAAACTAGAAGACAAGCAACTACTGAAGCAAGTCGAGGGATGGTGAATAATTGAGGGATTGAAAACAGGGGGATGAAATTGAAGTTGGAGAGGAAAGATGAGGATGAAAAGGTGCGAATAAGAAGACGAGAAGGCTTGATCAGTAGCATTCAAACCCCAATCCACCGTGCTAAATGCAGCAGACAGGGCGCCGTTGATTTCCTCTGCGACGGCCAAAGTATCAGGAAATTGTGTGAAGAGAAATTCACGGAGTTGTATTGCGCGGGATGACACTGTCAGGTTGTCCAGACCTAGACAGGAGAACGGCTAGGGTTCTCAGCAAGAGTATTTGGTTCAAAAATCTTACTACAAGGTAGTGGGGTTATGGCAGTGGACTACAGAGTCCGTTTTGTGGAGCAAACAGCCACCATTATTCCAAACCGCAGCCTGAGGGCCAGGAGACTGTGTTTGTCCGGCCTCTAACCATTGAACAATCTGGTATGAGTGGCACTGAAGGTGCAAAGAGCACCATCCAGCATAGCTCAATGGATCACTGAGACACACAAGCCATCGCACCGCGTTAAAGTACAGCTCCGTCGTGATGGGATCGTTACAAACCATTACGCCGATCGATGCTTTTCAGATCAATGGTTGAGCGCGTGTGGTTGACTGTCCCGCTTGTGCTGAATTAGCTGTAATTTCAAGTTCAACCTGCTCGAGTGTGTCACAGGGCTCAAGGGCATGCTTAAGCGGCTTGGTCGCTCGCTCGGGAATCGCATTGAAATGTAAACAAAGCGAATGAGCGATAGGGACACAAAGTGCTTACTAGCTACTTCACTTAGCGGTCGACAACTGAGGTTGATGGCTCGTATAGACCTCGGAGTTGTTGTTTGTCTGAGACCACACATTTTGCTGTGTGGCTGGGTATTCGGAAAATTCCGCGCCTATGTTTCTGCGGGAGCAATGCGAAAAATACGATGTGGAGATAAAAGGTGGTTCACACAGGCTGGATCGGAAAGATAGACTGCGTTTAGTAGTACTGACGAAACTGGATCGAATGGGTGTAAGCACACGTGTGTTTGATGAGACGTGTGACAGTAAATCCGAGTAGAGTACGAGGCCGGAGAGCTTACGTTCACATGGCGGTAGATTTGTGGCAAAAACGCCACCAGTTCTAGCTATTACCGAACAACCGCTGTAAGTGGTCCATCATCTCACTCACCTCGGTAGTTTGGATATCTCTGGCGATCAAGGCACAGAAGTCACTTCAAATGTCGAAGTCTGCGTAGTTTTCCAACATCTCAATCATCTGAGGACAGTGAGACATCAACTGGTCAGTCAAAGGTGAGGTGTGCGGTACGAGGACGAATAGCGTGCTGCAGCACGGATCAGGTACTTGACCACTTCCAGCCGAGGTTAGTTACAAAGTAGCAGCATCTGAGCCCCGCTGTTTGCAGATTAGCGCTCACATCCAAAGACATAGGGGGAGTAATACTAAGATACGCCACAAGTGTGTTGAGTATGCTCGAACCGTTTGCGCTGAAAAGGTAGTCTTCCGGATGCTGGCTGACTACGGGAAGAGCAAGCAATATCGCGGTGTAAAGGCGGGAAGAAATTGACCGAAAAAGTTGATCAAGAAGGTACGTACCGTCTCGTAGATGGAGATCTTGAGGTAGACTAAATCGATGGTTGAGGGGCTTTGTGCTGAAGTTGTGGAGTTAGTGGTGCTCGTGCATTCGGATTTTTACTGTTAGCCTACTAACCAGTTTGTTATAGACAATTCCCCCCCAAACTCTTTCGGTATACTGGATTTGCATTCCATCCTATTTTCCGCACCGTTGTCCTTGATTAGTATATTCTGACGAAGAGGGTCGTAGAGACTTGATCTACCACACCTGAGCAGCTGCACAAAAGTTGTTTAACTGAGCTTACTTGAACTGACCCCTAACCAATGATCTGACTGAAGGCGCTCAGGTGCCATTCAGCGTAGCTCCATGGATAATATAGGTATGCGAATCCAGTTCGTCTCACCACGATGGACATAGAGAAAAGAGCACCGCAGAATCCTCTTTACCGAAATGGATGATAACAACAAGCTACTAAATGTTCACTGAGACTCGAGGCGGCAGTAGTCATTTAGCATTAATATCGAGAGAGCTCATAGCGATTAACGCCAACAATGGCGATAGTAAGTCCAGTTCAGTTCAGACGGACAAAGATGACTTATACACTGAAGAGAGGTAGACTAGGATGTTTCGATTTATGCCACTAAAGCAATGGAAAATACAGGAATAATAATGACGATACTAAGAAAGGTGAATAAAGATAATTTGAAAGGTGGATAAAAATTGAAATATTAAAGTAGATCATTATTAGTAAACTACTTTTGAGACTGCACTCTAAGTTCTGACGTGCAAAATAGATGATGATAAGCCTCGTACAAGAACAGAAAAAAGCAAGAATAGGAACAGACGGTCCGTGATGTGCTTTCACCAATAGAAAAGGTTGAACGACTTTTCGACTTACCGCACGGTTGGGTAGGTCACATTTATTTCCAATTACAACAAATGGAAAATTTTCTGGATCTCGTGGGCTGGCCTGAATTAAGAACTCGTCGCGCCAAGAGTCCAAAGTCTTAAATGTGTTTGGCATTGTTACGTCGTACACAAGAACACAACAGTCTGCTCCGCGGTAAAAAGCGACACCGAGCGACTGAAAACGCTCCTGTCCAGCAGTGTCCCACAGCTGCAAAGTGGCAAGCCGATCATCAACCACGGTTTCCTTAGTAAGAAAATCAGCACCAATGGTAGCTTTGTATTGGTTGCTGAATTTTCGAGTAACATATTGATTCATTAACGAAGTTTTTCCAACTCTGCCAAAGTAAATGCAATGAAGAATGTCGGATGGAGGTTTACCCGCTATCACCTACAATGATCACTTTCAGCAAAATCTTTTTTCGTCCGGCCATCGACAAAAGGTCTGAAAATGCGATGGAAAACTGTGAAGATTAAATGAGTATGGTAGAAACTCAGGTCTCATTGTAATAAACAATTCCGTAGGTGTAGTGACAAAGTCCGAGACCGAGTAGTCATATGAAAGTGGATATGACGAAGTAAGCATAGACGTGGTGGCGCAGGTGCTCGGGCTGGGTTGGCAGAAATAAGACCTCTGATAGAGCGTATTCAGGATGATGCGGGCGGCTAATGCGCTCAGGAGGTGGTAGCCTATGGCAACAATCGTCTGAAACCCAAAACTACTGTCTAACAATCACACTACGCTTAATACGAGACGATTACCAAACTAGTTTGACCAGCCGAATTACAGTTGATGTTGCGAAGTGGAACAGATCAATTTGCTCCGCCGTAGCAAATAGGGACAGGATTATCCACGGCTACATCGAAGATGACTCCAACAAACGATGGCGGAAGGAGCAAGGAAGACAATACGAAACGTGATGGGTGAGACCGCCATCAGTCTATAAGGGCTAATGGAGGGGATGCAGAGTGAGCACCGAGGTGAACATCGATGCATAGCCACTGAAAGTGATATTGATGAAAAGAAAGGAAAAAGACCGTTGATCTGTACCACACACTTTGATTGACAGTCGCTTTCAGAATAAACCCATAAGCTACTTAACCGGGATACAAAATGGAAAGGAACGGAATGGCTAAAGTTCCAAACAGATTAAACAAACATGCTAACTGGTCATAAGAGAAAGAATGAGTGTTTAATAGCGAAACCGGGATAGTAATGCATCCGCAAAGATAGTACCTAACACCCTCGAAGAACCAAAGGGAACAGTGTCATTTACGACCTCTTCGATTACAAAGCAAGAGAGTGATGGCACCCGACGCACCGTATATAGTGTATGGATATCAGGAAAGAGGTTTCCGTGGAAACAGAGCTGGTAAGCCGTAAGTAAAGGAAGTGTTTCTGACAGGCTATTCGAAAACACTCAACGCAATTAACAGGTGCGATCACTTTAAACAGAATTGGCCTCTAGATCAGAAAGTGAGCATGTTTCAGCACCTGACTTGATGAAGTCCAGCCTGTTTTCTATACAGATTCACTCCTGCTGAAGATCGACGAACCTTCATAGGATGGCGCATATGAGTTTATATATATATATATATATATATATATATATATATATATATATATATATATATATATATATATATATATATATCGTAGTCTCTAAGAATAGACAGAGCCATTCAAAACCATGGAGTTAGGAACTAAAGAAAAAGAGCAAAATATGCAATATATGCAAAAAGAGCAAATAATGAGGAACAAAAAACATCGGAATTCTTTGTCTTCTATCACATGTCATTTGGTACCTTTTTAGAGTTAATGTTTTTGGAACCGGGGATTCACGCAAATTTGCGTGCATGGCTTCCGTTTCATCTGTTTTGCACTGGCGTCCCGAGCGTTCTGAGGCAGTGACATTCTTCATCCCTGGGTCCGCAAGCAGGTAGACGTACCGCGCCAACGACGGCTAGGCAAGATGCTAATGTTCTCCTGCATTGTCGCCAACTGGTTGCTAGACTCCACGCGACCTCTTCTAATGCGGCCCTGCGAGCGCAAATAGGGCGCGGCGTGATAAATGCTTTTTAGACATGCGTAGGACGTGGCCAACCCACTTCAATTGGTGTAGCAGAAAAAGCTCACACAGGGGAAGATCGGTCTTGCTCAATACGCTGTCAGACATCATCATTGCGCACTCGTTGTTGCCACCATACAAGGTCGATCCTCCGCAAACAGCCACTGTTAAAGGCCGAAAGCCTACATATATTATATACGGAGCAGTCAGGATTCGCATTCATATAGTAGTAATGCGCGAACACTGGCATTTTAGACCCTACGCATTAACGAGAGCGAAATGACGCCACAAATGCCTCAAGTTGGTAAAAGCCAGACGGGCTTTCACGATACGAAAAGATACCTTCTGTCTAATAGTGCCGTCAGAAATATAGGCTCCCTAGGTAAAAGAAATTGTCCACGCGTTCCAGCTGTATGCCTTCGATAGTAAGCTGAAGTAGAGGCAATTGGTAATCCTGTAACAGCCCATTACACTTAAAGGAGGCAAGGCACAGACTATACCGACACTTCAACCAACAGTCCGCCAAGGACCACTTGCAGGAAATGAAGGTCATCAACGAGCGCGGGGATGACACCAGCATAACCTAAGCCGGTTGCGCGATCACCTAGGGGCAGCTGGATGTCAAACTCTGCAAACCTTCTAAAGCTCCCAACAGGACGTGTTCGATCGCAAAGTTAAAGAGAAAAACGACATGGGGCATCTTTGTAGCACACCACTGGTGAAAGATAGGGTGTATAATGCTACGATAAGATATGTGTTCCTGTATGGATCAGAGACCTGGCTATTTCGCTGCGAAGACATTAAACGTCTGGTCGTGTTTGACCACCGGTGCTTGCGGAGTATTGCTTACGTCTGGTGGGAACACCAGGTGAGCAATACTGAAGTCCGCCAGTTGGTCTTTGGCAAGAAGCCTTCTGGTGCCTCACTCGAGTGTTTACTGCTTAGGCTGGTTAGGCAGCGTCCTCTTAATGCTGGCTGACCGGCTTCCTCGGCATGTATTATAAGCCGTGGCTGCATCAAGTTGGGCGAAACCGCGAGGTGGTCAGTCCATGACGTGCAATAGAAGTATGACAAAACTGACAGACTTGGTCAGGCTGATGTGTATTGCCTTCGTGGATGGGGGCCTCGGGATGGTCCACACCAATGGTTGGAGACCGTATCAGACATGGCGCAGTCATGCAGCCAGTGGCGTTCCTGCATAAGGTTTCCTGCATCTGTTTGTTAACTTTTGTTCCATTCCGATGAACTTAGTGCACTTACTTCACGCTTCCATTTTTCTTTGCAATGTATTTGCGTTCAACCCCACTATCTTGACGCCGTCATTTATTGCGATTCTTGCGATATGAGTCGTGGCAACTGAATCCACCGTACTTCGGTGTACGTAGCATGGTTGTACAACTGAACTGAACTGAAGTGCAGAGTTTGCCGTAGGCTCGCACCCTGCCTGAATTATGAAGGTATGGTTGGCGGCATCCTGTCACTGCGGCCTCCATGAGGACAGCCACAGGACGCCTGCGCCTACAGATGGACCATGGGTGGCTCGATCTGCACCAACCATAGCTCCAGCCACATAACCCATATCCAATGTAAACACGAAGGAAATGACCGGAAGGTATGTGGATGGGAGCCACGTTTCATCAACGGAGCCGGCGCACACTCCTCCAACATGCACAGCAGCAGCATTCCTGTCTATCTATATAGGGAACCACGCGTAATAGACGTAAACAAGGACGTGGGTGGATGGAACCACTCTTTGAGCCTAGCACGGCCACGAGGACCGTGCACCCGTCCCTCCTAACAACGATTCAGTCTCCTGGAGCCAGCAATCGAGGTGGTGCTGGCCAAGTAGGCACCTTGTCAACATGCACATCAAGCGCGGCCATACCGGGGATATCGAACCAACATAGAATTTGATGAAAAGCAAACACGCAAAACTGACGCAGAACATGCAGCAAAAGAGTAAAATTTAACAAATCAAATAGAGTGAAATAAGTTTTATCCAGATTAAAATGGTATGGTCTAAATGTAAGTCGGTTTAGCCCAACTGCGGTGAAGAAGCATCATGTATGCAATATCAGGCTAAGCACAAGGCACAATAGAAGGTATGAAGGTATAGTATCCTAAGTAAAGTGGCGTAGTTTTCAGAAACTCCATACTTTGGCAGGCATCAACACAAAGCAGATCGGTCTACTGATTCGAATGCAGCCTGAATGTCCAAGGCGATGATGGTAGGTCATGCGGTAGAGATGACTACGTTCGAGGAACCGACGAAGTGTGAATGTTTGACTCATACATCCGTCACACGAGTTAGAGATGGTCTGCACAGCATGACAAATGTTGATATTTTGGAAGCAACCGAAGTCAGACTGGTACCTCAATGATTAGATGATGAAGTAACTTTGCTTGAAGATTGTGACAATTACTGACCCTCCCCAAGAAGATGATACTCCTTCTTCTTGCCATATCATTAGAAATAGGGATGTTAGTTGATTGCAACTGCCGTACCACCGAGCTTAGTTGTGGGGGAATTTGTCTGAGCCCACAGCCTTTAAGTATTTCAGGTGTTGGATTTCAAGAGCATCTTCCGCTTCAGTTGGTGGTTCTAGTGATACTGTCCATGGCATAAGACCGGGTGAGTTGGGTGCAAAATTGGAGGGCGAAGAGCAACTCAACTGAGATTAGAAATGCTCAGCGCATCTGTCCATACGTCTCTGCAAGTTAGTGATTTGCGTCCCATCCGCCTCATAGATGAGTTCGCTGATACCAGACCCCCTGTGTCCAATGATCCGAAAAAGTTGGAACAGCCTGCGAGTTTTTCCAGTAAGAGTGGCGGCCTCTCTCTTCAAGGCATGTTGGGACCACTAGACTTCCCGATCGCCACGAAGGCTTAGTTTCAGCTGTCGGTTGGCAGGACGACGAAGTACATTGTAGTCCGGATTTACGGGATGATTTCGGGAGTGGTCAAACAATGTAAGGGAGCTAGCAGAGATCCAACTCTTCGTGGTATGATATGTTGACCCACAGAATGATTGAGTGGGTGGAACACCGGCTAATTTGTTTGTAAGTGGCCGTCGATAGTTCAGCTGAGAGGACTGAGCAGTTGGGCCGTTTGTATCGAGCGCACAATGCCACCAGTTCAGTAGCCCTTCGAAACGCATGACAAAATTCGCACAACCAGCGCGTGATCCGAGTTAAAATAAGTAGTCCAAAATGATCTACAACCTTGTGTGTTGCCCCGCGATTTGCAGCTGATTGTAATGTGGTGTATTTGAGACAAAGGCTGCGTCCATGGTGGAGGACGCCAGGTTGCACAGCGCATCCTGGAATATCTGAAGATTGTGCACGCGATAAATAAACCGTTATCTTTATACAAAGTG